CTGGAGAAGGATATCATGTTTGGTAAGGTGGAGGGTCAGAGAAAAAGAGGAAGACCCCCAACGAGATGGATTGGCCAAGTGGCAGCATCAGTGGACTCAAGCGTGGCAACAATAGTGAGGTTGGCCCATGATTGGGCAGTGTTTCGTTTTGCTGTGTCCGAGTTGTACTGACTCATTGGCACCTAACAACAACAACATCTAAGCCGCCCATACCTGTCAACCCTGTGTACCGAGGGGGCAGAAGTTATCCTTGGTGTAAAGATTTATTCCCTTTTTTGAGCTATTACATCCATAAGTATAGGTAAAATTCATCAAATTGTGGCAGGATACTTTTTACCCCCCCCCCCCTCTTTCTTCTTCTAGTCGAGTTGTGATCATCCAGCCATCGAAGCCAGGTCAAGTGGGTAATGTCTGCAAGTATAGGTGTTCCTGTTCAGCTCTCCTCACTTCATATCAGCTGGACGCTTCACTCTCCGCTCTAGTCCTCTGTGGCCATGTCACTGCCTCTGGGCCCACAAGTCCGCAGGTCTTGCCATACTGCAGGCCATCTAGGCCTCCACCCGGGTACACAGGGGTCTATTGAATGTGGTTGGACTTAGCTTGTAACTTCATTGCTGCTTTTCCCCCCTCTTCCCCTTATTCGTGATCAACGTGGTCACCAGCCAGACCACATGCCTGCTCATGTATTCCCCTTGTGTCTCATTCTTGGAAGGGAATTTGCTCTGAAGGGTCCTGACCACTTGCCTTGATCGCTCCCAGGTGAGCAGCTTATTTGTTCTTATAGTAATCAACCAGACTGTTGTCATTGTTTCTGATTTTTCCTATTGGTCTTTCTTTCATAACGTATCTTCTGTTCTTCTGGCCACTCCAGGCTGGTCAACTCATCAGAATTTCCTATATCAGGCAATTCTGGAAGAGGTTCTGGATTCCACCCATGGTCTTATGCAATATAAAGGCTCCACAGGAAGCCGCTTTCGCTGGGCAACTTCTAGCCCCCTTTAAGGTATTCCTATCATTTGTAGGCTGAAGATGAACTTATAAGCTTTCTGTAGTGATGTTTCTGGCTATTCCTTTCTTCCCACCTTAAGTGTTTATTTTACAATGGTAGGCAAGGGAAACCAAGATTCAAAAGACAGCCAAGCATCCTAACATTATTCCCTTCTTTTACCACTTCAAACCAGGCCTCAATCCCTGTATCCTGAGCCCTGTTGTTCCAAGGTTGTACATACATCATTTACTTCTGTCCCACTTAGCCCATGTGAACCTGCCTAACTGTTCTCTCATCAGCCTTGTTCTTCCATTCCCCTCCCCCTTTCTTGTGAATTGTCCCTCCCCCCCCCCCCCCCACCCAAGCTGTCCTGTGTCTATTCCCTACCCTGTGCTCTATCTTCCCCTCCTTGCCTCCGCTCCTCTCATCCCATATATCCTGGTGATCAACAAGTATATATATATATTTCCCCCCCACTTTTAGTATGGATTCTTTTTTTAATTCTTATGCAATAATGGTCCTATGCAGTATTTCTCCTTTTGAGACTGATTAATTTCACTCAGCATAATGTACTCAGGGTTCATCCATGTTATGTGGTGGCTTGCAGCTTCCTTGTTGTTCAAGGTAGCATAGTATTCTATTGTGTGTATGTAGTTTGTTTATCCATTCTTCAATTGATGGTCCCTTAGGCTGTCTCCATCTTTTTGCTACTGTAAATAGTGCTGCAGTGAACATTGGTGTGCATATATCTACTCGTGTTATGGCTTGTATTTCTTGTGGGTAAATTAAATACCAAGTAGAGGAATTGCTGAATCATAAATTATTTCTATTTCCATCCTTCTGCCATATGCTTTCCTTAGTGGTTGGACCATTTTGCAGTCCGACCAACAATGTAGAAGGGTCCCAGTCTCTCCTCATCCTCTCCAGCATTTATTGTCCTCTACTTCTTTATCTTTGCTGTTATTGCTGGTGTGAGATGATATCTTGTTGTTTTGATTTGCATCTCTCTAATGGCTAGTGATCGTGAACATGTCTTCATGGTTTTTGGCTGCCCGGATCTCTTCCTTGGTGAAGTGTCTGTTCATGTCCTGTGTCCATCTTTTACTTGGGTTATTTGTCTTTTCCTTTTTCTTTCTTTTTTTTAATTTTTTTTTTATTTGTCTTTTTCTTGTAGAGGTGTTGTAGTTTCCTATATATTTTAGAAATGAGTCCCTTGTCTGATATGTCATTGCAAAAGATTTTTTCCCATTCTGTGGGTTCCCTTTTAACTCTTCTGATGAAGTCTTTTGATGCATATCAGTTTTTAATTTTTATTATGTCCCACTAATCTATTTTGTCTACTTTTGTTTGTGTAATTTTCAAAATGTTTTTTAGTCTGTGTATTCCCTGTATTAGAGCCCTCACATTTGTTCCTATTTTTGCATTGATGACCTTCATAATTTTGGGATTCACATTTAGGTCTTTAATTCATGCTGAGTTGGTTTTTGTATAGGGTGTGAAGTAAAGGTCTTGTTTCTATCTTTTGCAGTTGGCTTTCCAGTTCTTCCAGCACCACCTGTTAAAGAGACTATCTCCTCCCCATGCAACATAGCTAGGCACTTTGTCGAAAATCATTTGGCTGTATGTGGATGGGTTAATTTCTGGATTCTCATTTCTGTTCCATTGATCAGTGTATCTTTCATTGTACCAGTACCAAGCTGTTTTGATCACTGTAGCCATGTAGTAGATTTTGAAATTGGGGAGTGATAGGCTTCCAACCTTGTTTTTCTTCTTGAGCAAGTGCTTTGCTCATCTTAGGTCCCTTTCCTTTCCATATAAAGTTTGTAATTGTCTTTTCCATCTCTTTGAATAATGTCACTGGAAACTGGATTGGAATTGCATTATGTGTGTAAATTGCTTTGGGCTGTATTGACATTTTCATGATGTTGAGTCTTCCTATCTAGGAACATGGTATGTTCTTCCAGTTTTGTAAGTCTCTTTTGGTTTCTTGTAGTGTTTTGTAATTTTCTTTGTATAGGTCTTTTGTTTCTCTGGTTACATTTATTCCCAGATATTTCATCCTTTGGATGACTACTGTAAATGATATTGCATTCCTAATGTCCTTTTTAGCACTGTCATTGTTGGTATAGAGGAGTCCAACAGATTTTTGGATTTTGATATACCCTGCCACTTTGCTGAATCCTCCAATGAGGTGTAGAAGCTTTTTTACTGAGTCTTTGTGGTTTTCTATGTACAGGATCATATCATCTGAAAACAGAGAGAGTTTTACTTCCTCTTTGCCAATTCAGATGCCCTTGATTTCCCTATCTTGCCATATAGCTCTGGCTAAGACTTCCAAAACAATACTGAATAGGAATGGTGACAAAGGGCACCATTGTCTGGTTCCTGTTTGCAGAGGGAAGGCTTTCCGTTTCTCTTCATTGAGAGTAATGTAGGCTGTTGGTTTTGTATATATGCTCTTGATTATGTTGAGGGATTTCCCTTCAATTCCTACTTTGTTGAGTGTTTTTATCAGGAATGGATATTGGATTTTGTTAAATGCCTTTTCTGCATCAATCGATATGATTATGTGGTTCTTTTCCTTTTTCTTATTTATACGGTGGATTGCAATGATTATTTTTCTAATGTTGAACTATCCTTGCATCCCTTTTATGAAACCCACTTGGTCATGATGTATTTTATGATGTGGTGCTGGATTCTATTGGCTAGGATTTTGTTGAGAATTTTTACATCTATGTTCTTGAGGGATATTGGTCTATAATGTTCTTTTTTAGTGATGTCCTTCCCTGATTTTGGTATGAGGGTTATGCTGGCTTCATAAAAAGTATTAGGAAATTTTCATATGATTTGTCTGTCAGGCCTGGTAGGCCTGCCTTTTTCTTGCTGGATATGCGGGAGTAAAGAGTCCCACACAAGTTAGGGCTGCGACCCAGAAGCTGATGTCTGTTGAGCTTTTTGAATGGATAGCTCCTGTCTAATATGATATTAGGGAAGTTATCACCCATCAAATCTTTAACAATTTTCTGTATGGTTTTTAAATGTCTACTTGTAATCTTGAATTCCAGTCATGTTTACTTTATTTCTTTTGATGGTGTCCTACACAATTTTAGACTTTTTTCATTTTTTTTCTTTTTCCGATTGTTCCTCTAACAGATTAGTATGAATGGATTTTTGGATTCCCTTTTCTGTTGATTAAATTCATCTAAAATTTTAGTTGCTGTTTTATATGGTTTCTGTATTGTTTTCCTGAATTCTTCTAGAACATTGTCTATGATTTCCTTTATTTTGTCTGTGTTTCCCTTGATCTCTTTCTTAATATGTTAAAGGGCCCTGTATATAATTATTTAAAATATCTAATCAGGTAGTTCGATTACCATTTCTTTCTCCAGTGTCTCCTAGCCCTATTGGAAAATGCTTGGGCCATATTTCCTTCTTGTTGTTGTATGGTGGGTTTTTTTTGCTTTAAAGTTGCCTTTTTTCTCTAAGACATTAATTATTTGTTGGTTTGCTTTACCTTATGAAATATTGTTGAGCCTTTTTCATAGAAATGACAAACCTTATCCATATGTTAAAAATATTTGTCATTGTCATTCAGCCAATGTTTGGTTCATAGGCTTTGGAAACCCAAAATAAATGTGAAGAAAACAGAAAAGTCAGAAAAATATACTTTAGAATTCCAGAGTGAAAGATTTTACTTCATTTTGCTTAAAATTAGGACTTTATGAACTATATAATTAAATTATTAGAAGAAATTACCACATTTAAATGTATTGTTAAAATTAATTGTAAATGTATACTTATTTATTTAGTTATGATGATTCTCCAAGCTATGCTGGAGCAGTATTCCCTGGAAAGATGTGTGATAGTCATTATTCTACAGGAGTTGCTTTGGTAAGTAATTATTTGATCTTTAAACATTTATGCATTTTTATATGAGTATAGAACTTGTTAGTATATATTTATATAGTTTACATTTATTTTTATAACTACAGGTTGCATTTGTACCCATTATTTTTTTTTTAAGTTTGAACTGTGCAAAAGGAACAGTAGTCTGTAGAACTTGCAGTTTCTGCCAAACCAAAGCCACTGCCACCTGTCAATTTCAACTCATAGTGACTCTATTGGACAGAATAGACCTTTACAGTAGGGTTTCCAAAGCTGTAATTCTATTTGGAATCAGCTCGCCACATCTTGCTGCTGCAGAGCAGCTGGTGAGTTTGAACTGATAACTATTTCAATTAACATCTGAGTGCTTAATTACTATACTACAAAGTTTCCTTGTAGTTTACTAGAGTTGAATGTTTTGGGAAGGCAAAGTGGGAATAAAAATACTAAAAGCACACTGTCATTTCTCAATATATAGAATACTGGATCATGAAAACTTATATGTAATAAATTTATGAAATAAAGATATTTTTATAGCACAAATAAAGTTTTGCTTGTACACAAAATATTGGAAAAATTATTACTGCTAAAGTAGCTTCCAAGGAGCTCTGGTAGCGTAGTGGTTA